GATATATATATATATATATATATATATATATATATATAGGTTGGTCGGTTAAATGGATTGATTCACTTAAAATTTAAAATTAAGTGAGTCAATTCATTTACCCCACCAACCTATGGTGGGTCGAGCCATGCTTTTTGTAAGCTCACTAGAAAGTGAATCGGGTTGGGTTAACCCACCTATTAGTCAACTAGTGATGGGTTAGATCAGACCAGACGGTTCGTTTTGACAGCTCTACTACAAGTTTCCTTTATCTTTGATCACCTAGAATAAAGATAGAAGAAGGATGAGATCCTTTGGGGAAATTCACACAACTTTGAGATATCTAATTTTTAGCTCCAAAAGCTTTGAATCTCTACATAGCTACTCAATCTAACTTTGGGGAAGGCTCTAGACTCTTTGGTAGACTCAAAAGAAGGAAATGTCTCTGGCTTCGGAGCCCCTCTCTCTAACTTCTCTATAAATTTCTTAACAAATGAATTTATGAAGTTCAAATTTTAAGGAAAACCTTCTATACCTTCCCTGAAACTTGATCAACTTTGACATCGACTCAAAACAACTCTTAACCAACTATATTAATAAGAATTTCTTAATCCTTAGAATTTTACAACTATTTAACAACTAAACTTACAATTAATTAAATTAATCAAATCAATATTTATCAGTAAAATCCACAATGTCACACATGGCATCTCCAGAAACGACAAAAATTGCTCGAGTTTTTTTTTTTACTTTTAATCCATTCCAATCAATCAACTCACAATTTAAGCCCTAATAATACTATCTTGAACCATTAATTACTCATTTACTAAACCAATTTCTCGCTCTAGTTCCATTATTCAATCTTTACCTCTACTTTATAAAATTATAGGTTCTCATAGTACTTTAATAGCACTCAAAAGGAATTCAATTCAAACACCCATACAATTCAATCAGGCATCATCAAGTACAACTAAAAACAAACATCAACAATTGAATTTAGATAGACAATTATATCTTAGAACACAAGAACCAAGGAGCTCTCAAGATCCCATAAAGAGTAACAAAGAACAAATAAACGTTGAAAGAACTTCAATAATGGCAAGGATATTGTAGTGCGATTTTCTCCTTCAGCCTCGAACCTTTTCTACAGGTTCTAACAATAGAGGACATTTTTAGACAAAGAGAAGAATGAAAAAAGGTATCTAGTTAACCACTGTTTTCCATTTACTAGTAGAACTATAGGCTATTGGGCTTCAAAATTTTGTCCAATAGTTCACGAACACTTATTTTTCTCATATATAACCAAAATCAACCCAAATATAAAAGCATTCTATATTAGTTTTATTTTCTAAACATCATTTTTATTCTATAAAACTCATTTAATTAACTTTTAAAATATCAAATATTTTATATATATATATTGGGTTGTTGCAGATTTTATAAGAGGGACAGTAACAAAATATAAACAAAATAAGCTAATTTGATTTGCATTTT